TTTCCCGTCTGTGTCAATTGTTGAATCCTCTTAGCCTTTTGGATATAGTGGCTGACAACCGTTTTCATAATTAATGACAGTCATAGAAAGTACTCTCCAAGTCAAGCAATGTTTCTTGCCTCGTTGCTTGATATAGTCTCAATGGTCAAAGGCAGATGGTGGCAGCGTATTTCATCCTGTGTAGCATTTCCTTGTTGGCAGTGTACCTTTTAGTTCCGGTGTAACCATCATATGTCAGCTCATAACAGTGTTACCAAGTGCAACCGATGGGGAAGTGTTACTCAGGAAAAGTAGTGTTTACATTATTTTAGTATCCATTATAGTGGTGCAAAAGAGCGGTGTTACACAACCCCCCCCCCCCCCCAATTACAATTAAGCTGTCAATTGCCAAGAGTGGATAAGCTGGCAATAGTAATTTCCAGCTTACCTACTCTTGATAACTAGTTACACTAAATTACTAGAAAATGGGAGTACTCGACTATTGATAATTAGGAACAGGAAAAGGTGATCACACTCTTCCCATTAATCAGGGACACTGGGGAGGGTTTGAAGAGGGGGGAAAGGGGGGCAGGTCTAGGGAAAACTGCCCCCCCCCCCCCAGCTTTTTTTATTGTGCACCCCATACTCATCCTGTGAGCGGTAGCTCAAAAAGCATTACAGAAGGCACAAAAGGTCTTTATCAGACCTCATCTTCCCCACAGCTTTGATAGACTTCCGGGATGTCTATCAATATAGTTGAACCATTAACCCATTAATGATAACCCCCAAGGCATCAATCTCTTCAGTTTGTCACATACTGCGTGATTGATTAGTCCCCTTCACTCTAGGGGCCTCGTAGTCTGGTGGATAGCGCGCAGGACTCGTAATTCTGTGGCGCGGGTTCGATTCCCGCACGAGGCAGAAACAAATGGGCAAAGTTCTTTCACCCTGAAGCCCCTGTTACCTAGCAGTAAATAGGTACCTGGGAGTTAGTCAGCTGTCACGGGCTGTCCTGGGGGTGGAGGCCTGGTTAAAAAGCCCCGAAATCATCTAGATAACCTCATAGGCCATCAAACTATGTCATTAACTAGTTCATAGTATGAATAACAGTCGACATTTACTGAATATTAGTTCCCTAACTTTTATATGCAAAGAATCAAAAGTGAGGTACCCACACAAGCTGGGTACCTCACTGATAATATAACTGTCTTATCCTACCCGGCCGATAGCCAGTCCTATCGCCCGGGAGATACCCTATCCTATCGCCCGGAAGATACCCTATCCTATCGCCCGGACGATAACCCTATCCTATCGTCCGGGCGAAACCGAGTCCCTAACGTTTAAAACCGTCTTGTACAGAGAGTGGTACTCCTACACCCGGCATTACATCAGAGACTATGGCCACAAGTGTACACCAACACTCAAGCAGACTGTGGTTGTTGGACTTCGGTTCTTCCCTGTGGTCGGCCGCACCGCGTGATGGCTGATCAGTTTTGCATTAATGAGGTTTTATTCTTGAATAGTATTTATATGAGCGTTAAGTATAGGTATTGTTTTTCATGCTATCGTTCCATCCATGCAGGCTATCGCTCCATCCACGCAGGCTATCGTTCCTCCATGCACCTCCCGTTCCGAGGAATGGAATTATCAGGGGGAAAGCGCCAAGTCATTACGACTATATAGCACTGGGAAGGGGTCAGGATAAGGATTTGGGATGGGACGGGGGGAAAGTTAGGAATAGTGACCAACCACTTGTGGACGGTCGGGGATTGAACGCCGACCTGCATGAAGCGAGACCGTCGCTCTACCGTCCACTCCTCTAAAGTAGACAATCAATTACAAGTTTCAGAAACAACAAATGAAGATTTGTGTTTTAAGATAAATTCGATGTTTTTGTAGACTGGATTGACCAGGTTGTGTTCCTGAGGCCATCAGCCACCACACCTTTTATGGCACTGGGGTGAGAATTAGAATTTACATATATGATTAACGGTGATGTAATCATTAGTGTACATGAGAGACAACCAAATGGACTTCCTCACTAATGCCTTCATATTGGAAAAGTTGGGATTTAGGAAATAATTGGATGAACAGGTTTGTTCATTTGTACCTGGTTTGTACCTGGATAGTGTTCTTGGAGTTGTTCTACGCCACAGGCCCAGCCCTGGCTTGTGATAGCTTGGTAATTCTGGGTAACAACAGACTTAGTCATTGAATTGTTTCCAGTGTAGGTTACACACAATTACCTGTATTCTCCCATCACTCAACAATCTCTCAGAATCAACTATACTTTTAAGTAAACAACAGCTTTGGCTTCCTACAACATTTCCAACCTCAAACACAATTTTCATTACACCGAAAACACACAGTGTTTACAGATGGAATGCATTAGGCAGTGATGTGGTGGAGGCTGACTCCATACACCAGTTTCAAATGTAGATATGACAGAACCCAGTAGGCTCAGGAACCAGTACACCAGTTGAGAGGCGGGACCAAAGAGCCAGAGCTTAACCCCCGCAAGCACAACTACGTGAGTACAATCATCCCAAAATACAAATACCTTAAATTTTCCCCAAGCATTTAACCTACAATTACTTCCCGTCACCTTAACACATCAAGTTGCATTTCCTTTGTTCATTACACCAAGACTTTTATACACTTTTATATATATATATATATATATATATTTTCTACTTATTATGTACGTATTGCGAGGAAGGAACCCCCTTATGACGTGTCTCAACGAGTCTATTTCTTTCTGTGTCACATGTCACTCTGTTTCCCCTTTGTCGGGTCCTTGTCATTCGTCTAGGTCCCCTTCTTCGTCCGGTTCGTCCTACCCATCATCGTCACCCCTCGGCTGCTTTTGTGTGTGTGTGCAACATTTTCTGCCCTCAACAAGCACCAGGTGCGCCTGGTTGTTAATGAGAGGCAAGCAAGCAAGCAGGCAGGCGAGCCTTGTCCTCACCTGTCTCCCTAGCGCCTGTCCTAATCCTCCTCCTCCTCCTCGCTTACTGTTTTTCCCGCTTGTATCTTTGTCTGCACTAATGACCTCCAGAGAGACGGGGGACAGAGGGAGGGTGGGGTGTTGGGGGGGGGGAAGAGGAGGAAAGAGGGAGAGAGACAGAGCGAGCGAGAGAGACAAAGGGCAAGAGAGACAGAAAGGGCAAGAGAGACAGAAAGGGCGAGAGAGACAGAAAGGGCAAGAGACAAAGGACAAGAGACAGAAAGGGCAAGAGAGACAGAAAGGGCAAGAGAGACAGAAAGGGCGAGAGAGACAGAAAGGGCGAGAGAGACAGAAAGGGCAAGAGAGACAGAAAGGACAAGAGAGACAGAAAGGACAAGAGAGACAGAAAGGGCAAGAGAGACAAAGGGCAAGAGACAAAGGGCAAGAGAGACAGAAAGGGCAAGAGAGACAGAAAGGGCGAGAGAGACAGAAAGGGCAAGAGAGACAGAAAGGGCAAGAGAGACAGAAAGGGCAAGAGAGACAGAAAGGGCAAGAGAGACAGAAAGGGCAAGAGAGACAGAAAGGGCAAGAGAGACAGAAAGGGCAAGAGAGACAGAAAGGGCAAGAGAGACAGAAAGGGCAAGAGAGACAGAAAGGGCAAGAGAGACAGAAAGGGCAAGAGAGACAGAAAGGGCAAGAGGGAAAGGGCAAGAGGAAGAGGAGAGACAGAAAGGGCAAGAGAGACAGAAAGGGCAAGAGAGACAGAGACAAAGGACATAAATAGATGCCTCCTCATTTGGACTAATATCCTGCTACAGTGTCATTGTTGTCATGCAATGTTGGGAAGAACTAGGAAGTAAAGCGCCATGTTCAACAGGTATAATCATCCTCTCCCCAGCAGACCAAAACCAGATAGCAATGTTGGACAAAAATATTGCAAACGGTCTCCATTGCAAAGGTAAATTCATTGTCCAAAGCCCGGCAGATAAATAATACGTTCCTGCATGGCTCCTGATACACACACACATGCTCCATAGCTGAACCATGCAGTCTCCGTGGTGTAGTGGTAAGACACTCGCCTGGCGTTCCGCGAGCGCTATGTCATGGGTTCGTATCCTGGCCGGGGAGGATTTACTGGGCACAATTCCTTAACTGTTTAACGCAACAGTAAAATGTGTACTTGGATGAAAAAACGATTCTTCGCGGCAGGGGATCGTATTCCAGGGAACATAGGATTAAGGACCTGCCCGAAACGCTACGCGTACTAGTGGCTGTACAAGAATGTAACAACTCTTGTATATATCAAAAAAAAAAAAAAAAAAAAAAAAAAAAAAAAAAAAAAAAAACAATCAGACATTTCAACAAATCAACAATTAGAGAAATCAACATGTCCCAATCCATTTCCATCCGAATCCACCCCCCCCCCCTAAAACCCCCTGGAGAGTTATCTAGATATTTGTGGTGGTCTGAAAGCATATTACGGCTCCAGTTATAGTCTACATGTTTACTGGCGAGTAAACCATTGTCCTAAACAGATTATTTTCAAGTTATAACTTTATTGTATTATAATTCGTTGCTTTATAATATAAAAAATGGCATGCTGAAAACATTTTTTTTAAGAATTTAGTTTTCTGTAAACGGAATTCTCGGGTACACTGAAATAGTTTTCGAATTCCCTGTTTCTCATTATCGCCAATAATACCCCGTATTACTGTAACCAAACTCAATGAAATGAAACCTAACCAAATCTTAACCTGACTTAAGCATAGATAGAAGTAGTTAACACTAATTATGTAGTCGTTCTCAATCCATTCCCTTGAGTATTTCCTCCCTGAGGACAGGTTGTAAATACCATAAACTGCTACAAATTAGGGCAACAATATTGAATGAATGCTAATTTACCCGACCCTAAGACACGAGATAAAACCACATTCTCTCTCAACTCTTTCTCATTCCCATTTCTCATTACCTCACACCCAAACGTAAACTATTATTTAAAAAATCTCTTTTTTTAATAAATTTTAAAATAAAATTTAAAAAATAAATAAAAGCATTAATTTCTTTTCGAACTTACCAGTGAATACGCCGAGCTGACGCCTTGGTCAGGGAGAGACATCTGAAAATAAAGAAAAACCAGTGTTAAATCCCATGAATTAGCATGTCTTGTGGCTTTGTGTATAACCAAATCTCCTTAAGAGGTTAACCATGCACCTCAGGACTCCCAAGTTCAGTGTCCGGGCTGCGAAGGAACTGATCTCACCAGAGGTGTAGGATACACCCCCAAGCTCACAGTGTCCGGGCTGTGAAGGAACTGATCTCACCAGAGGTGTAGGATACACTCCCAAGCTCACAGTGTCCGGGCTGTAAAGGAACTGATCTCACCAGAGGTGTAGGATACACCCCCAAGATCACAGTGTCCGGACTGTGAAGGAACTGATCTCACCAGAGGTGTAGGATACACCCCCAAGCTCACAGTGTCCGGACTGTGAAGGAACTGATCTCACCAGAGGTGTAGGATACACTCCCAAGCTCACAGTGTCCGGGCTGTAAAGGAACTGATCTCACCAGAGGTGTAGGATACACCCCCAAGATCACAGTGTCCGGACTGTGAAGGAACTGATCTCACCAGAGGTGTAGGATACACTCCCAAGCTCACAGTGTCCGGGCTGTAAAGGAACTGATCTCACCAGAGGTGTAGGATACACCCCCAAGATCACAGTGTCCGGACTGTGAAGGAACTGATCTCACCAGAGGTGTAGGATACACCCCCAAGCTCACAGTGTCCGGACTGTGAAGGAACTGATCTCACCAGAGGTGTAGGATACACCCCCAAGATCACAGTGTCCGGACTGTGAAGGAACTATACAAGCAATATATAGTTCTTCCTCTTACTGCCTGGTGAATCCAGTCAAGCTGACGACATAAATAACCGAAGGTGTCGTGTATCCCACCCAGCTTAATATGGAAGTGATCGTTCTCATCCATTCACAGCTCGAAAAGCTGACTTTTTTCTTTTTTTTAGGTTGGGAAAACTAGTTTCAACGATTCATCTTCCCGAGCTGAAGAATTAAGATTGTGAAGAACATCTCTGAATAATGACGCCAGTAAATAACTACAAAATATATTGATGCGACTAAAAAATATTGACCCTTCTTCGAAATCAATACAAATTTGGCAGCGAGACCAATGAGGTCAGTAGAGCCCAACCTGAACGCAAGGGCTCACATGGCAGGTGTTGGTTGAGCGTACAAAAATAGACTGTTGGACTGACAAACTGCCTGAACCCCAAAAAGGTTCACACACTGTCCTCGTGGATCACTCACAACTGCGATGCTAAAAACTGGAGAAAATGTATATAATGTAAAATAACCTGGTCTAGGCCTAAATCAATGCTAGTCACAATATACACTCAATTAGGCCTCCTGTAACTCCTGAATATGTGATATATTAGGCCTAGGAAATTTAAAGTTTGGTTAATTCATTTTGTCGGGGACAAGGACTTGTATCGAGGCCCCCCCCCAGGAAGGAACCCCAACATCAGTTGCCTAACTCCCGTGTACCTACTGACTGCTGGGTGAACAGAGGCATTAGGTGAAAGGAAACATTCTCAACCACTTCCGTCGCCCGTTCTACATGGAAACTTTGTTCAGAGTACCTAAACCTAACCCAACATCTCCGTTTCATCCGAGACTTCGGCTTGTCTCATTTTTAAACATTGTATTTGCATACAATGTATCAATTCTCCTCGGTATCTTCTACGTCGTAAGCATGTTTCCTCTCGCCTCTGGGCCTGGTGACTGACTTGGTTGAAATGTTCAGTTACAAACCTCTCTTTTACATAAGATGCGTCACCCACAGGTTACTTTAGTTCATTTATTATGCACCCCATACCCATCTTGTGGGCGGTAGTGGAAAGGGTTACAGAGGCACATAATGGGCTCAGGGACTGAACCCCACAATTCATTTAGCTCAGCAAGTTACAATCTTGATGAGCTAGTTACAAAATTCAATGCACATCGTCACATCATCAATGAGTTCGAGATAGATCACAAGTACAGTTTCTAAATTAAGCAACTGACATATGTGGAGAGCTAGTGTCTGGGCATGGGGTCCACTACCACCCACAGGATGGGGCATGGGGTCCACTACCACCCACAGGATGGGCATGGGGTCCACTACCTCCCACAGGATGGGGCATGGGGTCCACTGCCACCCACATGATGGGGTCCACTACTACCCACAGGATGGGCATGGGGTCCACTGCCACCCACATGATGGGGTCCACTACTACCCACAGGATGGGCATGGGGTCCACTACCACCCACAGGATGGGCATGGGGGTCCACTACCGCCCCAGGATGGGCATGGGGTCCACTACCACCCACAGGATGGGCATGGGGTCCACTACCACCCACAGGATGGGGCATGGGGTCCACTGGATGGGGTCCACTACTACCCACAGGATGGGCATGGGGTCCACTACCACCCACAGGATGGGCATGGGGTCCACTACCACCCACAGGATGGACATGGGGTCCACTACCACCCACAGGATGGACATGGGGTCCACTACCACCCACAGGATGGGCATGGGGTCCACTACCACCCACAGGATGGGCATGGGGTCCACTACCACCCACAGGATGGGCATGGGGTCCACTACCACCCACAGGATGGGCATGGGGTCCACTACCACCCACAGGATGGGTATGGGGTCCACTACCACCCACAGGATGGGTATGGGGTCCACTACCACCCACAGGATGGGCATGGGGTCCACTACCACCCACAGGATGGGCATGGGGTCCACTACCACCCACAGGATGGGCATGGGGTCCACTACCACCCACAGGATGGGCATGGGGTCCACTACCACCCACAGGATGGGCATGGGGTCCACTACCACCCACAGGATGGGCATGGGGTCCACTACCACCCACAGGATGGGTATGGGGTCCACTACCACCCACAGGATGGGCATGGGGTCCACTACCACCCACAGGATGGGCATGGGGTCCACTACCACCCACAGGATGGGTATGGGGTCCACTACCACCCACAGGATGGGTATGGGGTCCACTACCACCCACAGGATGGGTATGGGGTCCACTACCACCCACAGGATGGGTATGGGGTCCACTACCACCCACAGGATGGGTATGGGGTCCACTACCACCCACAGGATGGGTATGGGGTCCACTACCACCCACAGGATGGGCATGGGGTCCACTACCACCCACAGGATGGGTATGGGGTCCACTACCACCCACAGGATGGGTATGGGGTCCACTACCACCCACAGGATGGGCATGGGGTCCACTACCACCCACAGGATGGGTATGGGGTCCACTACCACCCACAGGATGGGCATGGGGTCCACTACCACCCACAGGATGGGTATGGGGTCCACTACCACCCACAGGATGGGTATGGGGTCCACTACCACCCACAGGATGGGTATGGGGTCCACTACCACCCACAGGATGGGCATGGGGTCCACTACCACCCACAGGATGGGCATGGGGTCCACTACCACCCACAGGATGGGTATGGGGTCCACTACCACCCACAGGATGGGCATGGGGTCCACTACCACCCACAGGATGGGTATGGGGTCCACTACCACCCACAGGATGGGCATGGGGTCCACTACCACCCACAGGATGGGTATGGGGTCCACTACCACCCACAGGATGGGTATGGGGGTCCACTACCACCCACAGGATGGGTATGGGGTCCACTACCACCCACAGGATGGGTATGGGGTCCACTACCACCCACAGGATGGGTATGGGGTCCACTACCACCCACAGGATGGGTATGGGGTCCACTACCACCCACAGGATGGGTATGGGGTCCACTACCACCCACAGGATGGGTATGGGGTCCACTACCACCCACAGGATGGGTATGGGGTCCACTACCACCCACAGGATGGGTATGGGGTCCACTACCACCCACAGGATGGGTATGGGGTCCACTACCACCCACAGGATGGGCATGGGGTCCACTACCACCCACAGGATGGGTATGGGGTCCACTACCACCCACAGGATGGGTATGGGGTCCACTACCACCCACAGGATGGGTATGGGGTCCACTGCCACCCACAGGATGGGTATGGGGTCCACTACCACCCACAGGATGGGTATGGGGTCCACTACCACCCACAGGATGGGCATGGGGTCCACTACCACCCACAGGATGGGCATGGGGTCCACTACCACCCACAGGATGGGCATGGGGTCCACTACCACCCACAGGATGGGCATGGGGTCCACTACCACCCACAGGATGGGCATGGGGTCCACTACCACCCACAGGATGGGCATGGGGTCCACTACCACCCACAGGATGGGCATGGGGTCCACTACCACCCACAGGATGGGCATGGGGTCCACTACCACCCACAGGATGGGTATGGGGTCCACTACCACCCACAGGATGGGTATGGGGTCCACTACCACCCACAGGATGGGCATGGGGTCCACTACTACCCACAGGATGGGTATGGGGTCCACTACCACCCACAGGATGGGCATGGGGTCCACTACCACCCACAGGATGGGTATGGGATCCACTACCACCCACAGGATGGGCATGGGGTCCCCTACCACCCACAGGATGGGCATGGGGGTCCACTACCACCCACAGGATGGGCATGGGGTCCACTACCACCCACAGGATGGGCATGGGGTCCACTACCACCCACCGGATGGGGAGGGGGTCCACTACCACCCACAGGATGGGCATGGGGTCCACTACCACCCACAGGATGGGCATGGGGTCCACTACCACCCACAGGATGGGCATGGGGTCCACTACCACCCACAGGATGGGCATGGGGTCCACTACCACCCACAGGATGGGCATGGGGTCCACTACCACCCACAGGATGGGCATGGGGTCCACTACCACCCACAGGATGGGTATGGGGGTCCACTACCACCCACAGGATGGGTATGGGGGTCCACTACCACCCACAGGATGGGCATGGGGTCCACTACCACCCACAGGATGGGTATGGGGGTCCACTACCACCCACAGGATGGGCATGGGGTCCACTACCACCCACAGGATGGGTATGGGGTCCACTACTGCCCACAGGATGGGTAT